AAATACATACTTAGTGCTGGAGGAGTGTGGGGAAAGTGATTGCAGGTAGCCGGGCTGGCAGGGATGTGATCCAGAGCGGGAATTCTCGGAGCCGGGACGCTCCTCCCAGCTGACGCGGTGGCAGGAGGGACAGCGCTGTCCCCAGCCCTTCCCCGTGTCCCCAGGGCTGCCACCACCCTCGGGATCCGCCCGCTGGAATTGTCACCCTCCAGCACATCTGGAATCGCTGGGGTTCCCCTACAGCACATCTGGAATTGGTGGCGATCCCCTACAGCACATCTGGAATCGCTGGGGTTCCCCTACAGCACATCTGGAATCGGTGGGGTTCCCCTACAGCACATCTGGAATTGTTGGTGATTCCCTACAGCACATCTGGAATTGTTGGGGTTCCCCTACAGCACATCTGGAATTGTTGGTGATTCCCTACAGCACATCTGGAATTGGTGGGGTTCTCCTACAGCACATTTGGAATTGTTGGTGATCCCCTCCTGCCACAACCCCAGCTTTAGGGGATCCCCCAAATTTCCCTGTGCTGCCCCACCAGCTCTGCCTCTCCTGCCTCAGTTTCCTCAGGGGCGTTTTTGGGAGGGATTGCTGCCGGTTTGGGATTTTTTTTTTTTTTTTTTTTTTTTTTTGTTTTTCCCCACGGGATTCTTCACGGAGCAGGGAGGACGAAGCTCCCGGCGGTGACAAGGTGAGCCACCAGGTGCCCCAGGGTGTCCTGGGCACCCCAAAAATCCCACGGGCTGCCCCTCTCCTCCTCCTGCCTTCCCGCAGCAGCTGATGCTTCCCCCGGCTGCTGCTGCTGGAGGAAGGGACGGGGCCCTATTTTCAGCCCCCAGGGATTTTCGGGGTAGGAATCCCCTGTCCCTGTGGAATCTTGCTGAAAACACCGGGCCTGTGTCCTCCTGTCCTGCCCGGTGGCTCTCCTGTCCCCCCGAGTGTTGTTTTGCGCCGTGCTCTGGGTTTGGATGGAATTTAAGCCGATTTTAAAATTCCTGCGCTTTCCAAACGGGATGTGGGAAGGTGGGAATCGGGATTTGGGAGATCTCAGGTGTGTGGAGAGATGAGCTGGACACCAATTGCTCCTGGGCTGCCCCATCCCATGAGAGAGATGGGATGGCAGGAGCATCCCTCCCTGGGCTGGGATTCACCAGGCTCAGCCCCATCTCCTGCCAAAATCCCGCTGTCCATCCTGAGATGCAAAAATCAAAAAAAATCCTGCTTGGGGCTCTGCCCAGGAACGGCTCTGGAGCAGAGGGCTCCGGGCTCCTCCCTCCTGCCCTCTGCTCCAGCCTGGCCAGCTTGGACACTGCCCCCAGCCTTCCCCTGGCCTCTCCTGCTCCTCAGGGACCTCCCAGGACAGTGAAAGTGATTTTTAAGGCTTGTGAAGATACTGGAGTCTGTTCAAGATATGTATGGTTTATGGTTTTTCATCCTCCCCTGCATCCTAGTTCCAGTAATATGTTCTGGGGGTTTATTAGTAATTGTTAGGGGAGGAGCAGGGGTTGAGGTTTTTCAGCCTCTCCTTTCCTTCTTCTCTTTTGAATCTGTTATGTCACTTTTTGAGGATATTCGGTTTCCCCCGAATGTTACAGAGACCATCTTTCCAGTATTCTGCAGCACCACCCTGGCAACGGGATCCCCATCCTGCCAGGATTCCCGGTGCCAGCTCCCGGCTGGCCAGGTG